TTTGCGGTCGGGGTCCCGGCCCTGGACCCCGGACCCGGTGCGCCGTTATATGTATATAGGACGCGGGGGTCAGGAGCAGAAAGCACGTGGCAAAACCAAACGTCTGATCGGGCGGATGGACCCTACAACAACAGGAGGGCCGGGAAGGCGGACCAAAGCGGCCAGGTCGAGCAGGCGTGTTGCTGAAGCGTGAGTGCAGCATGAATCGCGAGGAGAGAGCTCAAGCGATAGTGCGATTCCAAAATGAATCATGAAAAAGCCATAGCGAGATGACGATTCCTGAGTAGATTGCAAGGAAGTCCCACGCGGGAGCGCGATCCCTGCATGGGTTGTGAGGAAGTCCTCTGCGAGAGCGCGATTCTGGAATGAATTATGAGGCAGTATCAGGCGGAAGCCCCTGTTGTTGTAAACCACGGGCCAGCAACACAGTTTGGTCATACCTCACTTCCCCTTTATGAAAAATAACAAAGGGGTGCAAACCCCAGGAACATTTGTAATACATTAGTAATGACTTCAATATTGTCCGCTCTTATCTGCTCGCGTGCCATTCAACGCGTATATCCCAAACCCTCGGTGCCCGCCGCATTTGTGTTCGACCGTACCCCCTGTGGGTATTTCGTCCTTGCCTGCCGCGTGTCAGAAATGCAGCCCCTGAAACAGGGGAAGGAGGACAGATGGAAGGGGGAGGGAGCCGCAGGGACCACGGGATTAGCAGGAGGGAGGGCTAGGAGCACAAAACACGGTGCAGAACCAGACGGGCCGGGTAGACCCCGACGGGCGGGTCGGGAAGGCAGGCCCGGGCGGCCATGAAGCAGGCGGGCTGCTGAAGCATGAGTCCTGCATGAATCGCGAGGAAGTCTTGAACGATAGTGCGCTTGCCGAGTAAATCGTAGGGAAATCAGGAGCGACAGCATGATTCCTGACTGTCGAGGGTGAGGCGTCTCAATGAATTACGAGGAAGTGCCACTTGAGAGCGCGAGTCATGCATACCCTGCGAAGAAGTCCCGCGCGAGAACACGATTTTGAAATACATTCTAAAAATATAAGGCGGGAGCCGTTGTAGTTGAGTTTGGTGACACCAAACTTTCCATAAACAACAAATGGGTGCGAGCCCCGATGCGGGGGGGGCATTTCGTTTGAAAAAACAATTGTTACCAGCGGGGGGGCGACAATAACTAAGCATGATAATTCAACAACGCCGACAACAACAATAGTAATAACAAGAATGATGCTAATAATAATGATGATGATGATCCGCCGGCCCCCTTGTGGGGCTTATCAGGCTGCGAGGAATAGGCTTGCTGCTCCCTGCACTATTTCGAATGGATGACGGCTCAAAACATTTAAATTCCGCTCGAACATATTCAAAATACGGGTTATCTGTTTCTTTCGTGCTCACAAAAACCAGCGCCCGGCGAGAATCCGTGTGAGTGGTGTGCGAAATCGCCAGCGTGACGACCGCCTCAGAGCTTGGTCAGGTTGCAGCCGGGCGGATGACAGGATAACAACTAACAACATGATGAGAGAGGATCAACGAGAAGGGTAAAACAATCAAAAGGAAAACGCAACATTAATCATGCGCTTGGCGTTGAGGACACGGCTCTCCAGATATGATTGCTAGGTCTCTAGCCAGTGGGCTTCCAAATATTGCCAACTGTTTCATGTCTGATAAGAGGTGTTGCTTACCCCTCTGGAGCCCCTCTTGGGGCGTTCCTGGAGCCTTCTTAGGCCGCCTTGGAGGCCTCTTGGGTAGTTTTGGGGCGTCTTGGGCTGTCTGGGCGCTTTCTTGGGGGCCTTGGAGCCTAGGGAGGCCGAGAAAGCGAAAGCGCGAACAACTTACAAAAACCCTTAGGAAATCGATACATCTGCCTCTCGGAACCCTCTTGAAACCCCTCTGGGGAGCCTCCCGGGGCGTCTTGGGGGCTGTCCGGGCCGTGAAGGAGCCATCTGGGATGGATTGCACTGCGTTGCACTGCTTGCATTTGCATTGCATGTGCAGTGTTTGCATTGCAGTCGATTGCGGGTGAGGGGGAGCACAGAAGGGAGGAGAAGGGAGGAAGGTAGAGAGGAGGGGAGGAAGAAGGAGGAGTGAGGAGGGAGGAGGGGGGGAGGAGAGGATGGGGAGGAGGGAGGATGGGGGAGGAAGGCAGGATGAGGTAGGATGGCGGAGAGAGAAGGAAAGAGGGAGGGAGAAGGACTAGGAGGAGGATAGGATAGAATTGTTGTTCGCCTCCCTGGCCCTCGTCATCGTCGTCGTCATCATCGTCGTCGTCCTCGTCGTCGTCCTCGTCGCCGTCCTAGTGGTATAATGTTTATTATGGCTCCCGCGGCGCTGCCACGTGACGACTAGACTGGAATACGATTTCTTCGCGCCTACAGGGTGTTGCCACGTGGCGAGTGGAGTGGCTCAGTATTTTTTGTCGGCCCCCACAACGTTGCCACGTGACGAATGGAGTGGAATAGTTTGTTGTTTCGACCGCCGCGGCGCTGCCACGTGACAAGTAGAGTGGATGGAATACTCCTCGCGCCTCCAGGTTGCCACGTGGCGAGCGAAGTTGGCATGTTTTCCGGACCCAAGCGGCATTGCCACGTGACGTATGTTGTGGATTCATATGTTGTTTCGCCCCCCGCAGGCGGTGCCACGTGGCGAATTGAGCGGAACATCTGCTTCTCAGCCCCCGCGGCGCTGCGACGTGACGAGTAGAGCGGAACAATATTTTGTCGCCCGCCAAAGCGTTGCCGAGTGGCGAGTGGAGCGGAAAGTATGTTTTTCGGCCCTGCGGCGCTGCCACGTGACGAGGCACACATTGCGTTTCAGCGCATTGCATTGCAGTGCATGGCATTGCGTTGCGTTGCATTGCATTGTATTGCATTGCATAGCGTTGCGTTGCATTGGATTGCATTGCACTGCGTTGCGTTGCATTACGTTGCGTTGCATTGCATCCTGTTGCGTTGCATTGCATTTGCATTGCAGTTGCAATACATTGCATTGCAGTGAATTGCGGGCGAGGGGGAGGAGGAGGAGGAGGAGGAGGAGGAGGAGGAGGAGGAGGAGGAGGAGGAGGAGGAGGAGGACAGGGAGGGCGCAAAGGGAGGAAGGTACAGAGAAGAGGAGGGAAGCAGGAGGAGTGTGAAGGGAGGACGGGGGAGGAAGGGAAGGAGGAGGAAGGGGAGAACCGGCCAACCTCCTAGTCAAGCGGGCAACCAGCCACCTAGCCACCCAACCAATCAACCGACCGACCAATCACCAGCCAACTAACTGGCCAACCAACGAACCGACCACACAACCAACAAAACCAGACAGCCAACCAACCAACCAGCCAACCCCGTCGCCTCTGGAAAAAAAATACGCAGAAACCAGTGAGGCGACCAGTCAGCCAATCAACCCACCAGCCAACCAACAAACCACCCGAGCTTTCAACAACCAATCCACCGATCAACCCACCAACCAACCGCCAACCAACCAACCAACCAACCAGCCAACCAACCAGCCAGCCCAGGACAAAAGAAACTACCAACCAACCAACCAACCAACCAACCAAACAACCAACCACCAACCAACCAACCACCCAACCAACCCCAGCCAACCAGCCCAGAACCGACGAAACCTTCCCCAAGAATGTTTAGAGGATGTCCCACGCCGTGGGGTCTGGAAAACATTATGAGTCGGAAAAGATGTTTGAGGCCGTAAAAAAAATGAGGCTGAAAGAAAAAATGTAAAGGTCGCTCCCGTTCGAGTTTCCAGTTTCCAATGTTAAAGTCATTCGTTCTGCTTCCTACTGCAAAGTGTTGACGTCCGCGCGAGGGAAGTGGAGCCGAAAATGGCCCGGTTACCACCCCCGAATCGCGTTGTCTGAATTCCTGCGAGGCTGTGGGACACGTAAAAATACATGATATTCGCCCTCCTGACGCAATCATCCCTCGTAAATTGTATTGCATTCGCGTCCCCGAGACCACGATCCCTCCTAAATTGCACCAGATTCGCATCCCCGAAGCCACGATCCCTAGCGAAATTCGCCACATTCGCGCCACCGAGGCCACGATCTCCTGCAATTTTCACTACATTCGCACATCTGGGGCTAAGATCCCCCGTAAATTACACAACTCGCTCTCGCCAGGTGCGCACGATCCCCCGTGTCCAAGCGGCACCAGAATGGGTCGGGTTGGCGGCACGATGACGGAAGCACCGTCCCAGTTGGCGTATGCTGAAGTACAGTCGGGGCGTTGACCTAAGGAACCCTAAATAAGGAACGAGGCCCCTTTTTCCATAAGTTCAACTTCGATTTCCTATCGAGAACATAGGAAAACCTGAGGCAAGCTGTGAAGAACTTAAGGAACGAGGAGCCCCTCCCCAACGAAAAGGGTTCCTTCTTCAGGGCCCCGACTGTACCCGATGCGGCAGCACAAAATGGATATCGATCCAGTAAGCGTGAAAACGAGGAGAGGCTCGCCCCGCGCGGGGGATGCTGGAATAAGTGTGGTCGACTAGGTAGAAACCTACCAACCCTGACGAGAACAGAAAATCGACTGCTCGCGCTGCACTAAACGATCGAGACGGCTGCGCTCCGACGCCGCGTGGGGGTGACACTCACCGGGCCGAGGATCCCTCTCTGGACCAGGCCCTGCACTACGATACTTGTGCCTGAACTCTTGTTGTCGATCGAGTCTCAAGCGAAATGCAAACGAGGCTACGCTTTTCGCCCCCTAGGGGCTCTTGGAGACAAATTGCCTACGGTGCAGCATCGAGCGAGCAACGTCGACGATAGGACCGGAGACGAAGCGGAGAGATGCAGTGTACAGCGGGGGCTTCAAAAAACACCTGCTCCCACCCACCCTGCCGGCCTAAAAAAGGAGCCAATTGCACACGTGAAGTAAACGAAAACGATCCCCCTGCACTCCCATCGCCAGCCTGGCGCGAAGGGAACGGCACAAGAAGAGGACGCCTCTGCCGCGCGAGGGGGACGACAGACGAAGAGGACGGCGCCAGCTCGCGAGGGCGCCTCCTTCCACAGGCTGTCGAGCGTGGGCCCCAGCTCCCTCAGGCCCTCCCGCAGCGAAGACGCTGCCTCCACCATCACGGGGCGGGCCGCCTCTCGCATTGCTCGCGCGGGCCGGCCGGCTGTCTCTCCGTGGCGTCGCCCGCCCGACGGCTTTCCGCCCCTTGTCCCTCCCTCCAGTCCACGTGCCCTTCTCCATCTCCTCGTTCTCGCCCTTCCTCCCAGGCCACCTCCACGGCCTCCTCGTCCTCCTTCTCCCTGCTCCTGATCGTGTCGTGCATTCCTCCTCCTCCTCCTCCTCCTCCTCCTCCTCCTGCCCTCATCCTTTCCTCCTCCTCCTCCCCCTCCTCCTCCTCCTCCTCCTCCTCCTCCTCCTCAAGCACCCAATCCTCCTCTGCCTTCCCCTGCTCGTCGTGCTCGTCCTTGTCGTCCTCGACGCCTTCTGTCTCCTCACTTCCTCCTCCACGTCGTCCTCTTCCTCTTCGATATCCTCCACATACTTCCACCCATCACTTCCTCCCTCGCTCCCCTGCATGCTCCCCATACTTGTTATCATCACAATCGTGATCGCCGTCGCTATAGCACACCGCTGTCGCAATTATCTACATCCCAGCACCGCATCACGACGTCCATATGTCCTGGCGACGCCTGGAATGAAAAGAGTTCCAGCATATAAGGCGATCGATTATGACGGTTGTGACGACGATGACGACGATGAGACCAAGACGCCATGCTGGCTACGATATGGTGTACCGGCATGCGGCCCACTGGACAGCTCCATGGAGCAAGGCACCGCCTAAGACAACCCGCAGGAATGACGACCGCACAACCGGAAGACTCGAGGCACCGTGGATTGGGGAAATCACCGAGGCAGCCCACACCGCGCCTGCGGAGAAGCCTGGCGACCTATCCCGCCATCACGATCTCGACGCTGCCAGAATTGCTGACATGAAATCAAAACATGCTACAGGTACTGAATGGGGGGAATCAGCCGCGCGGTGCGGGAGAATGCAGGTCACGTGGACCGGCATTGGTGAAATATTGCTGGTGATCGGAGGGGGGCACACCGCACCATTTCAGTTGCTGCACGCAGTGTCTCACGCAACACAGCTGGCAGAGCCCCCAAACGGTGCCATCAAGAACTGCGCAGAAGCAGCTATAACTCACCGCCTAACTTCGCACATCGGGCCCCCTCGATGCGAGACGCGCGGTCGTCGTCGCGCCTTCTTCGCGGCGCCCACAGGAGTCGCCAGAGGCCCTCACGAGCCCCATGAGCCCCCGCCTGGAGAAAGGCAGCCCTCTGGCCCAGACCGCGACGGACGAAGCGCAGTTCTCTTCGCGGCCGCGAGCGATCTGGAACACGCAGGCTAAATGGGAAGTGCAGCAAGCACAGGCCAGCACATCGCGCGCATAATCACTGAAGCGGCCCATGCCGCGCCGAGGAACACGACGACGACGACGGCGACGGCGACGGCGACGACGACGACGACGACGACGACGACGACGGCGATAGCGACAGCGACGACGAAGGCCATGGGCCAAGGCGACGCCGGCGATGGCCGTGGCGACAATGACGTCTGCATCTGGAGGCCCCTGGAGATCTCCCGATGTCCCCTGAAGCCTCCTGAAATACCCGGGGGCCCCAGGTCGCCTCGGGGGGCCCGAGTGACCCAAGGCCGTCCAACAGCCTCGACCCCTGAACCTTGAACCTCGAACCTCTATTCCCGACGACGACGACGACGACGACGTAACGACGACGTAACGACGATGTAACGACAATGTAACGACGACGACGACGACGACGACGACGACGACGACGACAACGACGACGACAGCGTTGCGCCCGCTATCTCCCAGTAGTATAAAAAACGCTCTCTTCGCCCCCCGGCGGCACCGGCAGCGGCGACCCCGTGCGCCTCCGCGGCGCGAGGCGCGGAACGGCGCGGCCCCGCGGCCCGCGGCGAGCGGTGCCGCGGCGCGCGCGGCCGCGGCGCGGGCGCGCGGTGCCGGCCCGGGCGCGCGGGGGCGCCCCGTGCACTCGGCGACGGCCAGAGCGTGGACGCGGAGCGGCCGAAAAGCACAAAAACCAAGCAAAAGAAAGGCGCCCACAGGATGTCCAAGAAGGCCCCCGCGGCCTCCAGGGGACCCCCTCACGAGGCCCAGAGGGCCCCAGGGGCTGCAAAATGGAGCAAATGCCTGGGGGCACCATGGGCCAGGGGCAGCTCTGGCAACCCCCGAGATGGCCAAATCAACTTGTGAATGATCGCTTCGAAACGAACACAAAAGCTCAGATCTCTTGCCTCGGGTTCGCCCATCTGGGGCCTTCTGGGAGACCCTCGTCGCCACGGCTGGATGCGCCCCGGAATCCTGGCCAAAACGCACCCCGGGAGGGGTCTGGGGAGGAACGGCATCGGTATCTTGCAGTTTCCCCAGGGTCGGGCGGAGGGGCCGCCCTCAAATCCAGGAAGTGCAACTTTTCCACGCCGGGCGTCATCGCCCGCATTCGGCCCCCTGGGCCATCACAGATCGATCCGGCTCGAAAGATGCAGCAGGAAAGTGGGGTCTAGGGTCTGGCCGTGATTTCTCGCGATGCTGCAACTCTTCCCAACCATTCTGTGGCGTTTGGTCCTCGCTTAACGAAACAGCGCCCCGCGGCCCCTCCTTTCATCCCCTCCTCCTCCTCCTCCCCCCACTCCTTCCTCCTCACATCCATGCCTTTATGTCCATTTCGGCACACCCCTCACGCGTTCGTGGCCCCAGAGGAGCTCTACCAATAGCCCCACTGGCACTGGTTGCATGTGGGCGTCGAGCCCCTTTCAGTACCCCTCACACGCTTCGTAGCCCCACATTCAGCTCCACCGACGGACCCACTTGGCACCGTTCCCATGTTGGCGATGCGCCCATGTCGGCACAGCCTTCACACGCGTCGTGACCCCATAGGGAGCTCCTCCGAAGGCCCCAGTGGCACCGGTCGCATGGTGGCGTGCCGCCCGTTTCGGCACACCACTCGCACTCTTCTCCACCGAAGGCCCAAATACCCCCGTTCGCATGTGGGCGTCCCGCCCGTGTCGCCACACCCCTCACACGCATCGCGGCCACTTGGGGAACTCCACCGAAGGCCCCAGGGGCACCCTTCGCATGAGGGCGTCCCGCCCGTTTCGGCACATGCCTCACACGCTTCGTGGCCCCACAAGGAAGTCCACCGAAGGGCCCAGGGGCAACTTTCGCATGTGGGAGTCGAGCCCAATTCGCCACACCCCTCACGCGTTTCGCGGCCCCATCGGGTACACCACCGAAGGCCCTAAGAACACAACTCACATGTGGGCGCCGCACTTTTTCTGGCACGTCCCTCACACGTTTCGTGGCCCCACTAGGAAGCTCCACCGAAGGACCCAGCGGAAGAGGCCGCAAGCGTGCCCGCGACTTCGGCACAACTCACACACCTCGTGGCTCCATATGGAGCTCCACGAAAAGCAGCGCCCACAATGCGGAAGTCACAACTGCAGATGGCTGGGTCTTTCGCCCGAATCATTTCGCAACGTCCGATCTCAAGGGGGCGAAAAGGAAGGGTCAACTGAGGCGCGAACGATCTCCAGGAGAGCTCAGAATCGAATCGAGAAGTTGAACTGGCGATCGAAATGAATCGGATCGGCCAAAATCGGCAGCCGAGTCGGGAGAAGTCGAATCGGCAAAAATCGGCAGGCTGGTAGGCCTCCTTCGAGAAATCGGAGTCCGATGAGAATCCGCAGTCGAACCGAATCGGAATCGAAAGCCATCGTGATCGAATCGAACCGATTAGAAGGAAGCGAATTGAGCTCTGTATCTCTCCCTCCCATCCCTTCCCAATGCGCTGATGTTATTATATACCAACGGACGTTTGCCATAACCAACCTGGAACTCCAAGAAGATCCTATCGAGCGATGCGCAAACAGGGGGGAAGAAGCGCATGTATGAGAAGGATGCGGGTGAGCAGGAGGATGGGCAGGAGGAGTGTGTTCCTCTTCATTTCAGCCCCTGGGTGGTGTAAATGCACCAAACGTGGTATATAACTGCTGCAAGTTTGAGGGTTGAGCTCGCTTGAACAATGACAGTCCTTTCCGAGGGACCTGGCAGGAGACTATTGCACCGAACGTCCATCCTGGGTCGTGGGACGGCAGGCCCGGGATCGGATATCGTAGACGGGCGGGCGACACCAGCAGCGGCATCGAACGGCCCGCACTGACGCAGTGGCCGGCCCAAAACAACCAGAAGGACCCCCTACCAGGGCGAGAAACAACCGCGAGGCCGCTCTGACCCTACAGGAAAAACTATCCCGGCAAAGCAACCTAACAGCGATGTGTAGGAGCATATCTGGAAGCATTCCCCTTCAGATTCAGATGAGAATCCAGTTGTAGAATTCTGCTGTTCTCGCAGTCGTAGTCGCATTCGCGATGACAGTCAGTCGCAGTCGTAGTCGTCACAGCCTCAGCCTCAGCCTCAGCCTCAGCCTCAGCCTGCCTCAGCCTCAGCCTGCCTCCTCAGCCTCAGCCTGCTTCAGCCTCAGCCTCAGTCTGCCTTCAGCCTCAGCCTCAGCCTGCCTCAGCCTCAGCCTGCCTCAGCCTCAGCCTGCCTCAGCTCAGCCTGCCTCAGCCTCAGCCTGCCTCAGCCTCAGCCTCAGCCTGCTTCAGCCTCAGCCTCAGTCTGCCTTCAGCCTCGGCCTCAGCCTCAGCCTGCCTCAGCCTCAGCCTCAGCCTCAGCCTCAGCCTGCAGCATCAGCCTGCCTCAGCATTCAAAATGTGGCCCAGGAGTGGAGTTCTGGGAACTAGAAGAACACGAGGTGGCCTACAGTTGGCTCCGGGCATTCAAAATCATGCCCAGGAATGGAGTTCTGGGAACTTGGAGTTCTGGGATCCGAAGAACTCCACGAAATGGCCTACAGTTGGCTCCGGGCATCCAAAATGTGGCCCGGGAATGGAGTTCTGGGAACTCGAAGACCACGAAATGGCCTACAGTTGGCTCCGGGCATCCAAAATGTACGCCGGGAATGGAATTCTGGGAAGTCGAAGAGCACGAAGTGGCCTACAGTTGGCTCCGGGCAT